AGAAACATCCACTGCTAGAAATAGCGTTGAAAAGCTGCTCTACTTTCTAACAGCTTTCTAACAGCAAAAACCAGTATGCTCTGCAACGGACACAGTATATTCAGAAGCCTGCTTCATTGAAAAGAAATTGCATTTTCACATCATTCCTCCACGGGACAGGACACCTGTGCAAAGATTTATTTCTTTATCTTACCCACTACTGAAGTGCCTGTTAGGCTGGAACACCACTAACTAGCAGTGCAAAACATGTACTTTCCAATGACATTGGGAATTAAGTCATCCCAATGACTTCAACATTTCTCCACCTGCTTTTTTAAAAAAGGGACCAGACCCTGAGCTACACCGGCAAACCCCAGATCCAGAGAGACTCCCACATTGTTGGTTTCAATGGGTAAAGAAGTAATACAGCAATTAAGAAATAACCTGAATAAAGGCACCTATAAACTTAATGGAACATTGAAAATCCAGACTGCACACAGATTTTCCTGCTGCCAAACAACTGAGGAAAGGCAAAGAGAATCTTCTTTGGGCAACAGACAACAAAACAAATGTTATTACACAGGCTATCTGCTTCAAAATCACATTAAATTACAAAGAAATTGCCTCCTCTAGGAGTTATGGAGGGCAGGAACATTTTGTTTTCATAGCGTAATTTGGTAAAACTGACTCAACGCAATCAACTACTGCTGATCACTTCTGCCTCTATGTCTTTTGATGCTGGTGCCAGGGCATGCCCTTGAGAGGTAGGGGAAAAGGCATACACGAAGGATTCCTGGGACTGTTCGTGTTCTGAAGAGGAGACCGCTCCCCCCCCCAATCAATCCACGGAGCTTCCCTACACACAGAGGAGTATTTCCATGTAAGAGGTGTGAAATACAAGAGTGGAGGCTAGAAGGGGGCTCAGAAGCACAAGCGTAGACAGGCTTCCACTGCAGTGCAAGGAAGGTGCTCAAATAGGTGACAGAGCAGGACAAAAGGCACAAAATAACAAGATCCTCACTTCAGAAGACTGATTGTTTTCCTGGGCAGGTATATTTTTGCTTGGATGTTATAATCAATCCCTGGTGCATATTACCTATGCAAAAGAAGAATTACAAGAACATGAGTAAGACAGAAAGGTCAAGTCCAAAAACTGGGAAACACTGATTGTATTCTTTAATTTAGCTCCTTTGAATAAAAAACTTTTATTTTCCTTTTTTTTTTTTTTTATTATGTCCTCCCCCATCCCTTGACCCTGCCAGTAGTATTAGATGATTTTGTTAAACATTTGGAAACTGTCCCAGTTTTACTATGTCCTGCTCCATCCCTTGCTCAGCATATGTTGAGGCCTTGCTCTGGGACCGGGCCAATGCTGAGACAAAACGTCCTTGTCTGTTGGGACCCCGACGTACCCACTGCAAAGGCTGGAAGCACCTGCCTCCAGAGTGTGACACTGAGGTCCCCAAACCTGCCCACGGACAGCTAGCTTGGACACAGCAGAAGTTACAGAGTTACAGCTGCTTTAGCTCAGAGCTCCGTCCAGGCTCATGACATCCTACAAGCAGATCCTGGCCGTAACAGCCGAGAGCTACAGCTGTGAAGAAAACTCTTTGCAGCTCAGGCTGAAGCACGCTCAGAGCTTACCGATCCTTCAAATATTAACCTGCAAAGCTCTAAAAACTCTTTACAGAGCGTATACAAACTGCATTTTTTGGCCTCTAACTTGGGGCAGATTTGGGCAGATATTTATGAAGATGGCAAAAAACCAAAGACTCTTCCCCAAAGGGATTTCAGATCCCACTTCAGAAGTATAAGGGCATAAGAGCTTTTCAGAGAACTACTGCCAGAATTTTTTTTAACATAGCAAAACAGTATTCACCCCTAACCTTACTCTTAGCAGCTTCTGAACCATGTTGGCTGCATTTTTCATTAAAAAATTAAATAGGCTAAGGCAGACACCTTTCAGAAAAAGCAGGTAAGATGCAACAACTCTTAGAAGCAACTGAAAATGAAGTCTTACAATGTGAGGCATTTGCCAATGCTAATAGTAGACAATGAGATGAGTCCTAGCTATAAAATACAAACTTATTTATATTACAAACACGAAAGAAAGTAAAAAAACCCAACAACATTCTATTAACAGCTTCTCCTGTAAGAGACACTCTTTCAGACAGCATCTATCAAAGACTAAAGATGATTGCCTGCTTACACTTCACTGTTTTTCCCTGGAATCTGTTATTGTGGAAACTGCAGAATTAGATTTAAAGTCACCAAAGTATAAATAGATGTACAAAAATGACCCTATTCTATACGGGCTATTCCTCTTTATTTGACAAGAAAATGGAAATGAACACAGCGCAACTAAAGTGGAGATGGACGACAGTATCTCTGATCTCTGGGGATAATCCATCTCAGAATACGTTGCTGAATTTCAGAGTTTCGAGAGAGACCAAAATCTGTATTAATGGGCTTGATTGACTTTCAGCTACAGCAGGATAAAAGCATTTCAAAGTCACCAGCGCGGCTTAACCAAGCTGTATAGGGAGGAAACTGGTATTTTTTTCTGCAGTGATTACCCTCTCTTTATTCTGGAAAGACAAAAATAAAAAATAGCTACTATTCTACCTCTACCTAAAACACCACAGCACAAAATGTTTTAAATGGGACTGCCTATTTCATAGTCAGTTGCATGATCACTACTTTTCCCAAATTTCAAGGGAAAAATTACCTTACAGGACTGCAGGAACATCAACAGCAGCTTTTCATATGACAATTCTTAAGAATCAAAAAAAATTCTCACATAAGGCTGTGTTATTTTATTTCACTATAAAATACAGCCCGTAGCATATTCATATTACATTTTATTATTTTTCTCATCTCATGAACTTTTCTCCAGTTATTCTTTGTACTCTAATATTTTTGTTTCTCTCTGCAGTTAAATCTACTTTCATAAGCATGCGCTAATCCACAGTATAGTGGGAGAAACAGAAATCCACCAATGAAAAATTAAAATGGCTTACACAGTGATTTTGCTTTGGCTCTCAGCAACTTCCGACCAGTCTATAAAACTATAAAATGCTTTAAATGATTCGACCACCACCTCTCCCAACAACGGGCACCCAGGCATCATACCAAAACTTCCCGGTGGTCTCATGCTGAACTATCCGTCTCAAGAGATGCACAACAAAGAGCCGACATTCGGCTCAACACAAACTCCTCTGAATTTATCAACTTCACAAACGGTGATAAAATGAGCATGAGCCACATCACGGGGAAAAAAAAAAATCAAAATCCTTTGTTGCTGAAACCCATTTTGAATATCACATTCAATAATGCACAGAATAAGCCCTTTTAGAAAAACTGTTGGTGCTGTCATCTGCATACCGAGTATCTGCAAGCAAAGGCAACGTTAATAACAAGTTACCCTTGTAGAGGGGTCAAAAGGACAGTGCTGGTAAGACAGAGATGACAGACAACAGGCATCAGGGAAAAGATTAATATCCCTACACAGTCATACATCAAGGAACTCAATTTTTGCCTGTAATCCCAAAACTGCTGAGAGTAGGATTATTTCTGCTTTCCCTATTACTAAGAAGAAACCGCTCATGGGAATAGGGCACTGCTAAACGCGAGTCCTTACGTGAGCAGAAAGGCTGCAGTTAGGTCCTAGGGCAAAAAAACCCTCAGTTGCCTGATGTTCCCAAGCGGTGGTCCCACTGCAAACGAGCTTGGGGTTTCATTGCACAGGCCACTTAAAAAACATGAAAAATCTGTGTAGTTCAAGACAAAAGGAGCAAGAGAAGAGGAACCTCACACGGCATTTCCCAGCAGGGTAGTGGCAAGAAATGCTCTAAATCGAGACCAAATTGTCCGTACCCCTTACTGGCCCCCAGTTACCTCCAAACATCATCATTTAAGGTGAGGGCACTTTTACGGATCGGGCTTTAATGAAAGGAAGCAATATGTCTAACACAGGGAAAGGGGCACACTTTCTAAAATAACATGAAAAAACCCATTACTGGTATCACAACCACCAAAATAATGATATCATAACCTTAACTCGCCACAACTCTTTGCTGGATGATGAAAAATGTCTTTTTAAGACAACTGAAGGCTATGCATTTTGGTTTTCCCTTTCTTGGAGCACACGCCCTTCATAGTTATTAGTAGCTAAGTTTGACAGCCTGACAGAGAGCTACCACCTTGGCAAGGACAACCTAGGAGACCTTCTCTCTGTAACCATGCAAAAGTGCAGGGGAAAAAAAAAGGGGGTGGCGGGGGGGGAGAGAGAGAGACAAAAGACGTGAGGACGGTATTACTATTGTTATCATTTTCTCACAGCTGGCAGGGCAGTGCTTACTTCAAAAACGCCAGGATATTGAAGAATTGCAGGTCTAGGCGATATGTATTTGTAACAAAAAAAAAATCTGCACCATCCCAGGGCAAATTAATGTGACTGTAGAACAAAAGGGCCAGGTGCCAACCATCCCTTCCAGTGGCCTTGCAATCAGTGTGCTGGGGTGTGGAGCTGGTTGGAAACTTTCCAATACAACTTTTTTTTCCTACTGAAAAAATGTGGATTCACTACAACTGAAACAGTGCCAGAACATGTCGGTTTGAACAGAAAGCAGCCTGCCAGGCTCCCCCACCGCCTGCACATACTGCCCGCCCCAGGCTGGCAGGGCTTCTGCATCCCCCGCCCCCCAGGAGCTCATCGGGCCTGGAGCTACAGCCTGGAGGTCCAGGTCCCAAGGTTTCCAGAGAAAGTGGCAGGAAAATTAAATCTATATTTCTGCCCTAAGAGAGTTTTGAAATTGTATTATTTTCACCAGAATCAGAATGGAAAAATTTTTCCCCCCAAGAATGTAAAGTTCCCTATAGGACAAACATTCAAACACCAGATGCAAGTTATCATGAGAAATGAATGCATGGGCTCAGGCTGAAGGAAACAGAGGAGACAGAAAAAGAAGTAGACTGGCCAAGAACATAAATTGCATGAGAAAACATAGGCAAAAAACAATTTAAGCTAGTTAGGCAAAGGAGAAAACAGGTGAGAAACACAATCATATCAAGGTAAAGCTCTAGAAGCATAAAGCAGCCCTGCTTGAGATAATGAGACAGTTAGGAAGAGAATAGCTGCAATATGCATTTCTCAGGTCTTTTGAGATGCATACAGGGAAGCTGTCCCCTATTTACCTGGAGGTCAATCCAGCCCTTCTAGTGGAATAAAAGGATATTGATAAGGAAGATGGATGTCTGGTTGTCAGGACCACAGTACAATTAATAAGAATAAATGCACTTTTCATTTGCAGAACATGGGGAAGCTTGTTTGTGCCTGTTGATGCACAGCAACAGTTTGAGATCTGACCAAAGATCAGACAGATGTAGATGTAGATGTAGATGTAGATGTAGATGTAGATGTAGATGTAGATGTAGATGTAGATGTAGATGTAGATGTAGATGTAGATGTAGATGTAGATGTAGATGTAGATGTAGATGTAGATGTAGATGTAGATGTAGATGTAGATGTAGCAACAGTTCAATGCCAAAGCTACCAAAGAGTGTCTTCCAGTGATGTCAGTAGCAGTGATCAAGCCTTAGCTGCAGTGAAAAGCATGAGGGAAATGATATAAAAACTGCAGGACTTATGTCTCGGCCAGTAAGGGGGGAGGACTGCCGAGGATTTGAGGAGGTCTGCAGACTTAACCCAGATACCCCTGGACTGTTAACACATACTGCTATTGCCATATGCCTTAGGAAAAGAAAAACGGAAGACGACTGAGTAAATATACAGAAGTTATACTTGAGAATAATCTTAACATCAGAACAGTGAAATTCAAGAAATTACTGGGATATGAGGGGAACTAGATTAACAACTTGATTAACATCCAACAGGGCTGGAACTTGGCTTCTACAGCAGCCCCCATACAGCTTTCACACAAGAATGAAAACTGTAGAAGATAGCTCGCTAACATTAGTTGATTTAATTTATTAACGTAGACTAATATTCACCTTGGTAAGGACACGTGTACAAAGGCCTTACAACCCTTATAATGGACGTAGCGATAAATAAGGGCTCCTGAAGGAATGGAAGAGAGATGGCAGTAAACATATGACACTGTCAGCCTTTTATTGCTCTAATTACCAGTGTTGCACACATACAACTTCTAAGTCAAACTGACAAGATTGCTGATCCCTTTCTTTGCCTTTCACTTCAATTCATACTTGGTGTGAAGTAAAATATTATTTTAAAAAACTGACTTATCCACTTACTATCTGCCAGAGAAACCTTTGTCTCTTGCCTTATGTCCATAGCACCTCTCAATGCTGACAATGCCATTACTCTAATTAAAAAAAAAAAATATATATATACACTATCCACATTATAAGCCACAATTCCAAACTTGGAAGACTAAAACTTGTCTATTAAACTGAGGTGCTGCTCATTACATTTATCACTGTAAGGCATGTATCTTTTTGTTGAAGCATTATGCTCACAGAAGGACGCAGCTGACTTTTCACGAGAGAACACTCAGCAAAGGCCAGGAGCTGGTTCTGGCCTCGCAAAACACTTAAGATAAATTCTAAAACCAAGAATACTATATAAAGCTTGAGCTCATTCTCAGGAACTCCAGAACCAAACTCTCTCAAACGCACTGACATTTAACACAGGCTTCTAACAGCAAGTGTGAAAAAGCACTGAGTAAGGGAGTAAAAAAAGACCCAAAGCTAATGTTTAAAACAAAACCAATTTATTTAAGTTCTAGCCCAACAGTAGAAGTCACAAAGTAGAGTTTATATCCTGTGTTTTGGTGGTTGTTTTCAACTAAGTTAGATATAATGAGGTGATTTCTTTTGAGAAAAGCATGAATCACTACAACTATAATTTTCTTGGGTTCAGATGACGGTTTTAACTCCCTCCAAAATAGCCTGAAATGACCAGCCTTTTTACTAATGCTTTCTAATGGTTCTTTTCTTGCTAATTAATTCATGCATCTAAATCATTCAAAAATAGATAAGCCACTAATCACTCGCAGACTTGATAATGTATCCTAAGTAGACAGCAATATGCGGAGCATGCAATAAGGCTGCCAAAAAGAAAAGAAAAAGGAATTAGAAGGAAAAATAAAGCTCACGCCTTCTATCTAATAGCAGGAGATTTGATTCTGCATTTATTTTGTAGGATAAAATGCTCACTGACGTCAAAAATAGTCTACTATAGAAATGAGAAAAACCGGGCTGCTTCTATACAGGATGCTTTTTTCTAACGTTACATGCACAGAAGCAAATTAAAGGCTCCTTTTTTTTTTTTTGCTTTGGTACAAGGTTTGTTGTCCACATTTAGCGAAAGTAAAAAAGAAAAGATTAAGGGGGGTGGGAAAGAGTGGGTTAACAATTAACCAGCTGTTGTCAGCAATAATTCATTTAAAAGTGGAAGTTGAAACACAAGAAATAAAAGAAATTTTATTGCAAGATTGTACTTTTGTGCATGTCTATGTGAAGAATAATACCATAAAATGATAAATTTAATTAAATTTTCATGTATTGAAGAAAACCGAAGTGTCACAAACAATAAAAATTACAGAAAAATATACAATGCCAATCACCACATTATGAAGTAACATTTTATATTGCTACCATTTTATGATTTTAAATAACAACATATTAAGTTGATTCTGTTTTGTTCTGGACTGAATCATGTATCTGCTTCTTAACTAATTATATGCTCTAAAAATTTGTTTCAGTATGACTGTTAGACATTTCCTCTCTCCTTTCTTTAGATAATACAACCGTGCCCAACTTCAGGAGGGAGGTAAGTTAGTTACACCAAGGGCAGTCTCAACATTTATTCAAGTTATGGAATGAAAAATGCATCATTACCATGGCAACTGGTAAATCACGTGGTATCTGCAATGAGATACAAGGCATCTTGAGTAAACACTCATCTGTGCGCCTGTGTGTCCTCCTCCACACAGAATGGTTCTTTTGTGGAGGAACATGTGCGGAAGTGTGGCATAGTCCAGATTTCACTGTCTCTTCTACAAAAAGTTGATAAAAGTAATCCAAAATGTTATTTTTGCATGGGGTAATTTAACCAGATCTATCATTAGAATAGGAAGAAATACTGAAAAAAAGATCAAACATTGAATGTTGTGCTAGGATTCGCCTCGATCAAGACCGTGAAACCTTACAAATGACAGCACATACCTCTCAAGCTCACTTTGTACCCTGGCATCAGAAGACCATTCACAACAGCACTAGAAAAAAAAGTCATCCTGACAGCGTGAAGAGCTGCCAGACGTGCAGCAGCACATCGCACTGGGGCAGCTGGAGCTGTTACCGCCTCCAGCCATCTGCCCCACCCTTCTGATGGATGTTGCCACCCTCAAAACAAGGACATCCGATCTACCCTTGAATCAGCCCTGAACCACGCTGCTGCATGTCTTGCCGGGCTCCGATATTATCAGCAGCTAACATACAACCTCTCCCTGAGAGGGCCTCCCCTTCCTCCCTGCTCTTAACGAAGACACCTCTCTGCAGAACAACCCCCTCAAACCATACTGCTCTACTGCCAGTCCCATCCATAAAGCATCAAATATCCATCCGTCGCTGGGCTTTGACTGTACTTCCCTGCTGCCCTTTTCTAGCTCTTCTTCTCCAGCCACTATCATGCCCGCACAAGGCTCCTTCCCCATCCTTTTAATTCACCATGAGGAGCAGCATCGACACCAGATTCCCGAGTAATCTCCCTTGGATCACTCCCTTTCTCCTCCCTCAAAATATGTCCTCCTTCTTGACCTCCTGAGCCACCTGAAGCGGTGTTATCTATAGGGAGAAACAGAGAGTCATACCATGATGCCACTTGTCAGCTTCTGTGTGCACAGTGGTTTCTTCAGCCAGCAAGGGCTCCACTTGGGGATGCAAATGTCCACTGACAGGTATCTTCTCCTGATCCCATTCTCTCCCTCCACATCACATCCCATCACCATCAGACAGCGTAGTACGGCCTACTCAGACACTGCCAACACCTATGATGTGACCCAAGAAATACCTAAACTCTTGTCTATCTCCGATCCTGACCTCCCTTCCCCCATTTCTGGCTTCAACTCCTTCCTCACCTTCATAGCTTTATACAAGTTATATAGCTTTATACAGGTTTATACTCCTTTTGTGTATAAGCTTGAGATCTCATCTAATCAACTTCTTCCTACTTACTCAGGAAATTATTTTTATGTCATATGGCTCAGAAAGTCACCTTATCTCATAAGCCCTTCCAGTAATGACTTCTCAAATCTGTTTACTTTGTCACTGCTGGGCTCTTCCTTCCCGCCCGGTTGGTCATTTGCTATTTGACCTGAACTTTGACAGGTAAGGAGATGCTGTGGGTGAAGAAGAGACATGCTCTGGAATTCATCAGCTGTCACAGAGCATTTGAGTAAAGGAAAGATAAAATGAGATGTGTGAACAAATGACCAGGTCTTAACTCCCTAATAGAACCCTGTGGAGAGGGTTATAATATCCAAGTACTCCAGGGAAATAACTAATGATCCTTTCTTCAGTTCACTCATGTTTCAAGAAGCAATCGCCTGAGTTACTAAGTGCTTGAGACTGCCTCAGTAATTGCAATGATTTATTTTATGCATCATCATAACTACAGCACTAGGTCAGGAGGACTTGTGCTTTATGGATGCCTTGAATTTTAACACAGGCATCGGAGGATTAGGAGACTGCAATCAGAAACACCGAGACCACAATGATTTGACTGGGGGCGGGGGAAGACAAAGTCTGTAAAATCCTAGGTATCTAAACATTAGGTTTCTGTTAGGTTTTTAATAAAATGAATTATATCTTCAGGTGATCCTAAGCAGAAGTTGCTTACATTTTCCTCTGCTCCCTTAAAATGCAAGTGATCTCAATCTAATGTTCCTGAAGATCTTTGTTAGGATTTTTCTTTCCAGTGTAAGTAACGAATGTGCAGTTAACAGTGTAACTACCCACTCGGTAAAGACAAAAAACCTCGTTGTCTCTGTCTTACACCTCTCTCTGTTCCAGAGGAAACTCTCCCTGTGCAAAGCCTGTTTCTTCATCTACTCTTAGTCTGTACTGGTGCAGTGGCTGCCTGTTAATACCAGCAGTGAGAGGGATGAGACCTTAGGCTCATGAGCATTTATTTGACATAAGAAGTAAAAACTTTACACATAGCTACTCACCTGACCTACCAAAACAATGCTGTGCCAAAGGATATTTTGTGAGGGGACGCGTCCACAATGCAGGAGGATATGTTTGCGCACCAACAAAAGGGTTTGATGAGCAGCTTCTCAGGCATCCCCATCCTCCTGACATTACTTAAACCCCATTCCCCAGTCACCTTTCCTTTTAGCTATGTGAGGCTTCACTGGCACAGAAGGACATTTTTAGGATAATGATAATTTAAAGTGCTGTCGTCACCAGAACTTTCAGGCTATTTGAAGATCTCGAAGACAATTCCCCTCCACCCCCATAAACTTCAAACTGTTTCTCCATGATAACTGAAGTGAAAGCATTGCTAACCTTTAGTACTGCTTTTTTCCAATTACAGTGTTTCAAGGTTAGCAATGTGGAAAATAAATAAACTAACCCCATTTTCAAGGTCAAAATAAAAAAGGCAGCAATGATAGTCCACAGTAACTTTCATTCACTTGGTATTCAGGACGCATTCTTTCTGAATATCAAATCACAAAATCATTGCCAATTCATCAGATTTTAAGCTTTAGCTTATTAAAAATTAGACTATGCTAAAAATAAAATGCAGGGTTTTACTTGATCTGATTAAGATGTTTCTGTACAGCATGATCTAAGCCTCTAATTATGTATATCTCTATGTTATCTCAATTGTTATTTCAATATAAGCAAATTCATAACAATACATTTTGATGGAAAACATTCATATACTAAAAAGTGGTAAAGCGATAGAAGTAAAAATGTCAAGGTGCTAAAAATGAAAATGTTTCTCTACACTGTGTGTGCCAGGAAAGCAAGAGCTCACACGACATTTGGCAGTGATTTGCCATGATGAAGCAACTCTTCGGGGCTTTCATTTTCGTAAAAGCCCTAGTCTATTTAGAGCTAGGTCCTAGCTCCTTGCCTTTAACAATGCAATACAGATAAAGTTCATTAAATATATTGTCTAAGGTAGGGAAGCGAAGAGGTTTTGCTGTAGCAAGCATTTAACATGTGCATGGCAAATCAGAAGGAAAAAAAGAAGTAAAAAGGATTGGAACAAATTATTTGTTATAAAAGCAAAAGTGATATGGGCATATTGTTATTACACAAGTTATATGCATGATTTACTGTGTAGCTTTTGTCTAATACAAATATTTACTATTTACATGTCACTGCAATGAAAGCAGTATGTGTCAATTGATTAACCAGTAAATATTAGGCAGAGTTTAAGTGCATTGCTACAGCAGCTGAAAAGGAAAATGGTTTAGTGGAATTGTAGCGTTTCTTCCTGCACAGTACAAAACTAAGTTTTGCACCAGGGAAGAAATAGTCATATCTGTACGTATACATATGTGTGTCTGTGTAACAGCTGAGGGTGGGAGAGTGTGAACAGACAAACTACAGGGAACATACAGCCACCCAGTGCAAGAACAGAGCAACTCTGTTCTACGGATGGCTGCAGATCCCACACAAATTAGCACAGATACCGACAGCTCTGTTGTAAAATTGGAGCATGTTCCTTCAGATCCTGCGTAGGTTCCTACAAGGAAATGTCTAAAATGAAATAAGAGAGGCAGGCTTCTAGGGGTCTCCTGAAATGAAGGCTATAGCTGCTTCTCTGGAAAAAAAAAAATTAATGAAGGCCACCTTTCGGGAAGTACCTGATTTGGGGGTCCCACATTAAAAATCTGTCACCTGAAGCAATCTGTTCAGACTTTAAAAGGGAAGCTGCTTCAACCTATCTATAGCATCCTCCAGCCAGCCAGTGCACACTAACTACGCAAACACCACATCAGTGTGGGAGAGCATCCCGAAAGCCTACATTCACAAAGTTCCTGAAAGCAGGAAGCAGCACTTCCATGTACGAATGAGGATCTGAGGCACAGAGACATTCAGTCATTAGCCCAAGGTCTCAGAGGAAGCCTGTGCAGGACGGGGAGCCCCCAAGTCCCCGTCTGACACCCCTACTCCACCACCCATCCTTCCTCTTCAGGGAGGCAGCTATGGTAACGTGTACCTACAAAGAGTTATCCGCAAGATAACCCAGTGTACAGACAGCCTGCCTCTATCGCTTCTTCCTTCAGCAGGCACTGGACGGAGAGCAGCAGAAAGGTGACATTCACAGCCCTGACGTCCCCGAGGTAGGGGCACAGAAGTTTGTACAGGTCTCAAATGTGATGCCTGAGATTCAGGTTTTGATCTGAAGAACTGAAAAGGAGATTGGAACTTTTCAGAAACTGCTAGATGAAAACCTGATGCAATCTGAAGAGAGGAGGAAGAGAGGAGTGTCAGAACAGATGGGTCACCAGGAGAAAGCAGCTTCTTTATGTTACCAACTGAGTCTGTGTGTAATTGACTGGTTATTTCTACAAGGTGAAAAAAGGTTCCATAAGTAGTCCTTGTACGTGATCAGCTTTGCTTTCAGCAAGGTTTGCAGTCTATTTAATGAATAAATATGTACAGCATGTGCACACATAGGCACGTCTCTCTACAGAAGGAGAACTGGGGGACCATGAGCACCCCAAGTTCCTTGGTGGAGGAGGATTCTGCCATATCTTTGGTGAAATCCTGGGAAAGGCCCCAGATGCAGGATGCCATCACCTGCAATGTAGGATTTGACAAGTTCCCCATGGGGCACTGGGCACTGCTCAAACTCCCCTGGAAAATCTTGCGATGCCAATGATAACGCAGGTAGGACAATCCTCCATCCAGGCTTAATTTACTTCTTCTGCCTCTGCGGGGAATAGGAGTGAGGAACTCACTGCAAAGGGAGTTTTGTTTAGAAGCTACATGCTTCTTTTACACAAGTTCATCAAATCTAGGAAACCAAAAAGAAATCAATATAGCCCAATGATTAGCTCGCTATAGGTACTGTGTACAGACTGACAGAATATTTGTGTTGATTCCACTGAAAAGATTTGGGTTTCACACATGAGGGGACAAAGCCAGAGTATCAGCACACTTTCCAGCCATGTACCATCCACACAAGGAAATCCAGGCCTGAATGTGTCTGGTTTTTAGCTTGAAACCTGAACAACCAGGCTTTGCATGTGAGAATTGAAATTCTGGCCTCTTCACTCCAGCCAGCTCTGATTAGTGTCTTCTCCCCTGACCCTGACAACATCAATTCTCTCTATTAACCTGCCAAATATGGCCAAACAGCATATTTTGCAAACACTAAATCGATGTAACTGCTGTAGTTGTATCCACGTATATGTTTTAAAAGTTCCTGTGGTGAATAATCCCCTACTTGCCATATCGAAAGTATTTGGCAAAAAGGCCTAAACTGATATTGTATTTATTTGATAAGTATCCGTGCCTCTAAAAAGGGAAGAGACACTGTGATATTGCAACCAAACCAAAAAGGTGATGCATATTTGCATTCTGTGCTTGTCTCCTACTCTACCAAAAGAGCAGGTTCTCCTTTGTTCCTCCCAGCACTGGGCTAAGTAGAAACGCTGCTCCTGATAGAACACTCACAGGTCTACTCCCCCCACCTCCCAGAGAAAATGGAGACGAATTAAGGGATGGCACTCTCAGTCCAGCCGCTCCAGGCGAGACAGCAGTGTCAGCCAGGCTGGCAGGGGACAGAGCTGATGCACAGCACAGCCAACAAGGGATGTGAGCTGTATGCCTTTCCCTTGATCAAACAAGGCTGTGTAGTTCAGCATCACCCCCTGTTCAGGGCTTACCCTCGTTCAGAGCTTGGAAATCCATCTAAGGTTTGATCTCCAGCAAGCTGTTAAAGGAAATACCAGCTGCTATTCATGATCTTCCTGAGTTAGGTCATTCTATTATTTTCCAAGTCACCAAATGAGGCTAAAGTACTTTTTCCTGCAACCAGCAACTGCTGCTGCTCCCATGCATCAGCGCCTTCCCTGCTCAGTTGTGCACGTTCCAGCCACTGACAGAAAAAGCTGGGAACTGCCTGCCGCATGGTATCAGAAAGTATATTCAAGTAAGGCCGCAAGGTCGTTGCTAATTTCAAACCCTGTTTCATGTTTCCACATGAAACATCTAATTAAAACTTTTCGCTGGGTAGTTAAAATGAAATCCATGCATATGCACTTGAGACCTCATTTTCACGTGCTGTGAATTAGAATATAGGAGGTGCTGTACACAGCGGTAGGAACACTAATCGAGGAAGGAGAGGGGAATACCTGCTTTGATTTAGAGGAAGACAGCAAAAATACCACTAATCGCCTGGGTTTTCATTCCTTTGCTCTTTGAGCTGCCACATACAACCAGGAAAAATGAATGCAAGTGGTGTATTAACTGCTACCAAATCAGCATTCTCCACAGGTGTCCGTGTGTCAAGCACATCTTGCAAATGCCACCACCTTCCAAGGCTACGGCGCAACGGAAGCATTAGACCCTAAGAGCTATACCCTGCTCTCACCAAAAAACACCTATTAACGTCAGCAGGAGCTGAATTAAGCTTTAAAATGCAGGCACAGTGAGTGACAAAATGGCCATAGCAAAAGGACAGGGTTTGGAGATTTTAGGGATGTCTCATGATTAAAATAAATAAACCCTGGGAAAAAAGAAGCCTGCAAAAAAATACAAGGTCAAGTTGTCCTTCCTTTCTTGCTGCGGAGAAGGCTTCAGCAATGGAGGCAGAGATAGACACTTTACAGCTGCCCCTTTTCCCAAAAGCCCTCAGTGCAGATAGCCTGACGGGTACAGGGGAGGCAGCTGAATGTAAGGGAGAGGCCGAGTCTTCACACCGGCATGCTCCAGGTGGTCTCCAGAGCCTGCCTGCAGGAACAAATGCCAACAAATGCTGGTGGCATTTATTCCAGTGAGGTCCTGACACAGGCTGTCAGATCTCTGAAGAAAGCCAGGTTGCTCTGGCAGTTGGGGAGGGTTGTGGTGCCAGCCCAGCAGCACCTGATACAGGACCCCCCCCCCCCCGCAGCCCCCCCTGCCACTGGAACCACACTGACCTTAGCATAGCATGCAGATCTTGCTACAGAATATGCTCTGGTGCAGTGTCTACTGCAAACAGGAGCAGAGCTTGATATGTAGAAACGTATTCACCTGTTTAATGACACTAGCCATGTATCTCCTGCATTACTGGCCCAAATCTCCACTTCAATGAAGCTGAAAATTCTTCCTGAACTTATTCGGGAGAATAGGAGAAAAAAAGGAAGAAAAAAAAGGAAGAAAAAAAAAGAAAAAGAAAAAGAAAAAAAAAAGAAAAAAGGGGGGGGGGGGGCCTGAAGCACTGAATCCTTTTTACATGACTGATCTCTGGGCAGGTTACCAAATCTCAGACAGCTTCCAAAGAGGATGATGTGGTGGACAGCCATCAGCTTCTGGCTTATCAACAAAGTTTTCCAGTTATCTTGGCTGTTTCTTCTCGGCCAGGACCACAGCCAAAGACAAATGCCATTGATTGGATTCAATTCCAAGAGAAAAGTGAGTAAAACAATGAATGACTTAAAAGATCTACACCACTAAAAGGTGAAGGACAAAATTACTTCTGAATTTCAAAAACTGCTTGGAGTTTCTGATTTAAGTTTGTGGGTCATATTAAAAGCATTATCAACTTTTCTTTTTAATCTTCACAAATATAGATAACAAAATCCCTAACTTAACAGAGAGATCCAGGCACTTTTGTTTTTCAGAGTTCCCAGGACAAACATAGAAGTAACTGTACAGAAGTAGATAGCAGGATTCATCCACTGTATTATCAGCATAACTGGGAGTTTATCAATGTCATAAATCAGAAAAATGGAGAAAAGAACATTCAGAGCATTACCAAATGTATTCATCATACAAAGAGAGGGACAGAATGGTAAATTTAAAACCAGAAAACATTAGAGCAGGTGCTTTGAATTTATAAACTGGTAATTTCTACTTCTCTAAAGGGAGAAAATGATAGAGTAATTCTATGTAAGCCTTTGGACAGTCTAGAAACATAAGCAGGTAAGTGGTTCAGAATCTGCAGAGAAACACAGAAGCAGAGGACAGCGACAACCTGCAGACGAAAGCTTTCGGAGAGTTTCTCTGCTTTTTCACGTTGATACACGGAGCAGAAGGTAGAACCATGGAATCATGTTTTCAGTGTTGATGCTACCAGGAATTGTGTCATCCCACTGCCCACGAAAAACAGCAGTCCTGTCCTCTCCCCACTCCTGGATGCTGACCCCTACTCATCATTCACCCCCTTCTTTGTGCATGTAAAGCCTTCATGAAGCCACATGGTGAAACACAGGATCTAGACTAAAATTATGCCAACCAAAAAAACGCAAAGACATTTAATTGAACCAGCTCAGTTTCTGGATTTGGTAAGTCACAAGGCTCTGGGGAATAAAGAAGGCTGTGTTTCACTGTCAGCAGTAGAATAGCTCTCGCCAGCGAGAGTCATCCCTGACACCACGTCTCATTCCCACCCCATACCCATATCCCTGTACCACGAGGGAAACTGATCCAGCTGGAAAATAACCCCACAAGAAAGGTGTATTTATTTTATTTTTCAGCTGGATTATTCCCTGTGTGTCTTCACAAAGCAGCACAACACGGGGCAGCCCAAGGATGGGGACAAGCAGTCGGGGCAGGGATGCTGCCGACGGCACAGGCGCGGAAGCAACGCCTGAGGACCCAGACTGCGAAGTGACTACTACTGCTTGGCCTTGCCTCAGCTATGCTCAGGTTTTTAAAAAATATCTCCCCGGCCCTCAGCAGTTCAAAATCCAACCCACTTCCAGCTTGCTGGCATCCCCAAACCACCTCTCAAGTATCTTAACATTCATTAACCACTGCAGGTTTTATAGCACCCCTTCAAGGTCCTACATGTTTAAGACCCCATTTTATATCTGGGTAAACAAAGGTGCAGAGAAGTGACATGATTTGAAGGTTACATATTAAATAACCAACGGAATCAAAAATAAAAATTCAGTGTTCTGGCTCCCAGGTTTTAGCCTGCTAAATACTACCTGCCCTTTTTACCCTTTTCAGCCTAGTAGCTAAGGTATTGTCCCATACAAGAATGAGTCACTGTTCCACACCAAAGAAAGCCCAGCATGCAAAATGTGTTTGTGGAATTTCCTTCTATACAAAGTAGTTTAATGTTACAGAATAAATCAAAGAGGAGCAAATTAAGCTTTCTTTTCTTTTAAACACTAGGCTGAGCATCTGGAGGAAAGAAAGCATTATGGGAATATGCAACTTGACTCAAAGGGAAACAGTGAGCTTCCCACTTGACATGTTCCTATACTATGCTCACAACACATCATGTGAGCACAAGCATGACTCCTCTCGAGTGCTTTTTTTTTAACAGGAAGGACCATATCATCTCACTGCTGTTTTGCACTCCTGGCAAGAGGGCGTTCTCCTCCAAAACTTTGGCCACATTAAATAACTCAACAAAAGGAATAGTAAGTCCTCTTAAAAGTATATAGTAAATAAAAATACTTTTCGTATTATTTTAACAAAAGTGCTGCAAGAAACTGAAACAAAGCTTTTCCTAGCAGCCAAACGATCCCAGTCTTACATCTGAGCAGGAGGATCCTTATCTCTGGCAAACTTTTTCCATTTCAAAAAGATGCCTGTGCCTGTTCTGCACTGAAAAAAAATCCTAGGACCTGCAGAAGTCTTTTCTTCTCAGAAGATAAAGAGGTTGGCTTATGAAGAACAGGTGATCACCTGGGGCTATGCATTCATTCCAGCAGATGAAAGATCGACCGTCTGGAATAGGACACTCTCTCCAGAACATGACAGAACTAGATTCAAGTCCCTGTTCCTCCTGATTCAGACCAGAGACTTGAACTTCAGGTTACCTCCACAGCAAGCATGTACCTACCTCTTAATTACTTACTCTTACTCAACACGGAGCTATAAACTGACAACCTCATTGATAGACTCATTTTTTTCTTGGCTTGTAGTTGAAGACTAAGTCAAAACTGCAAACTATCGTCTTACCCTGGTACAGCTCTCTCTGCTAACGCTGGCGGAGAAGGGAAGGAGGGTATGAAGGTATGAAGGGAAATAGCAAATTCCTGTGCTGACGTGCTAAATCCGTTCTATTTCAATGACTTCAGACATCTATACCACCTCATAGCTATTCAAGCCACGAAAGTTTCTGCAAAAACTTTTACTGTGCTATAGTTGTTATGTCCACTTGATCCACAGTTCTGCAAGAGATGCAGAACAGCCTCCAAAAGCCAAAGGCAGTAAATCTGCACTCAAGCTACCCAATAGATCTGTCCCAGCCAGAGCAGATACAACAAAAGCAGCGACGATTTTTTAAAAAGTAAAGCACAGATTTCACTCACTGACTGCATTCAGGCATCATTCGATGTCATCATTTTAAAGAA